CCAAGTCCCACAGGCCAGAGACAAAAACTGTGTGCTTGGTTCACCTTTCCCTGATACGAATTTTCTTACCAAAAAAAAAAAAAAAAGGACTTCATATTAGAAAGAGAGGAAGGGAGGGAGAAGGAGAGGAAAGGAAAGGGAAGGAAGGGTGGATGGGTGGAGGGAGTAAGGCAAGGAGGAAGGGAGGAGGAGGGAGAGAAAAGGATAAAAGTAAGTTAGTTATTGGCCAGCAGGGGGTGGACATCAGGAATCCTCATCCCTGCTGAAGGCAGGCGATCTGTCCCGGACTGTCTGTCCTGGAGAAACTTTGACACTTTGTAGCAGGACCAGCCAGAGACACTGAATTAAGGACAGGAGTCGAGCTGTCCTATTTGACTCTGGCCTGTACAGACTGTGTGCTTGGTTCACCTTTCCCTGATACAAATTTTCTTACCAAAAAAAAAAAAAAAGGACTTCATATTAGAAAGAGAGGAAGGGAGGGAGAAGGAGAGGAAAGGAAAGGGAAGGAAGGGTGGATGGGTGGAGGGAGTAAGGCAAGGAGGAAGGGAGGAGGAGGGAGAGAAAAGGATAAAAGTAAGTTAGTTATTGGCCAGCAGGGGGTGGACATCAGGAATCCTCATCCCTGCTGAAGGCAGGCGATCTGTCCCGGACTGTCTGTCCTGGAGAAACTTTGACACTTTGTAGCAGGACCAGCCAGAGACACTGAATTAAGGACAGGAGTCGAGCTGTCCTATTTGACTCTGGCCTGTACAGACTAAACTCAGTTTTCGTTTTATTTGATGTTGCTATGACTCAGTATCTTAAAGGACATCCACTATTTGATGGTGTTTTCCTCCCGCATTCTTTTGTGGATTATTTTCTAAATTCTGTGTGCAGATTTTAGGAGGGAAGGAAGAATGAAGATAGGAGTTAAACCACAGATATTCTCTGGGCTGAAAAACTTTTTGGCTGCTTGAGAGTTGAAGATTGAGAAAGCCCGATAAGTAGCAGAATTAAGGCAAGGGTTTGCTGGGCCGAGGGCAGGCAGACCTTGAAATTGACTGCCTTTAGAGTGTGGAGTGAGGGGGACGAGATGCCGAGTGACTGCGCAGAGCCGATGCAGGTGAGAAACACCTTCTGTGCCGGAATTCAGTTACTTTCCAGAGACCCAGAGGCCCAGAAATGGGTGTGCGAAGCCTATTTCCAGGAGATAACTGAGTGGGAACTTGCAGGAGGCCTTGTGGGGGGAGCACCATGAGATTCTGCTCTCCAGAGTCATCTCATTGTAGTGCTAACGAGGTCACTGTCACCAACACTATCAGAGAACTCCCATCTGTTGGACACCACTAATAGACAGAAATATGCTCAGTGCTTCCCCTAAGTTTCTTCATTTAGTGCTTAGTGGACTTTGAAGTGAATGGAGTCATGCCCATTTTGAAGACGAGGATGTACCTACTTTAAGATCTGTACTGAGTCCTTACTTCAAGGACTTGATCACCGGATGCCAGGGTACTTGGGAGGGGGAAAGGATTGCAGAGTTCAGACCTACGTCGACATTGTGTGGGCGGCCTGGGAAGAACTTTTAGGGAGGATCCCACACAGGGTTGTGTGGGGTGCTCAGGGCATTCGAAGGACAGAAATTCCCAGCCGTGTTGTTCAGTCGGGCAAGCATATTTGGGAGGACTGGGACAGAGGAACCGGAAGTCCCATGTCTAGACAGGGTGGAGTGAAGAGAGGCAATTAGACATGGGGCTGGGAAAGGCATGGCGTGAACTTCGTGTTTCTGGGATGCCACTCGGGTGTGTCTAGTTCAAGGTAACAATGCCGGCATGGATATAGATAGGTAGATATATAGTTATCCACTGAGTGCCACGGCTTTTACCAACCCCCAGATGTGGCTGTGTGAATGTGAGTGTACGTGTGGGTGCATGTCTGTGTGCTCGTGTGTGTGCATAAGTGTATACATGTATACGTGTGCGTGCGTGGATATGTGATGAGTGTGTTTAGGTGTGCATGTGTGTACATGTGACTGTGCTTATGTGCACGAGTGTGTGCCTGTGCACTCGCTGTCAGATACCATGGTCAGGAAACCAAGCAACTTAGGAAACGGTGGCGCCTGTGCTCCTGGCCACGTGCTAAGGTGGCTGGGGAAGAAAGCTGGCCTTGCAGTCCCTCTGATTTGAGTATCTCCGAGCCACTCGGCCAGCCAGTGAGGACTTCTGCTGCTCCAATCTGTGGATTCACACAGCCCTTGTCTGGTTTGCTTCACGCACTTCACTTCGTCATCGGGACCCTGTGTCATCACGTAATCTGGTTCTGTCCCCACGGATGCTCACGGTTGCTATAGAGGTAGAGGCAAGGCAGAGGAAGACACTCCAAAGTCCGTTTGCTTTGGTTCATCTGCTGAGGAGTGAGCATGATGACTGCAGAACTCAGGAACTGGGAGGAGTAAGGGACGTTTCCATGGAAGCCTGAGTAGGCATTGACAAGTTCTGTGGCGTGAGGCCATTTCCTGTGCCATTGCTCACCTGTTTCCTGTCAACTCTGTGTCGGAGGGCCAAGGCGCTAGATTTCTTTGATGCTCAGCTGTTCAAGAGGAAGTGCGATCTCTCGTGGGAAGCAACCTGCATAGAGTGCCTTGTCCCACAGCCTTCATATCTAAGCACAAGATGAGATTATGACCAGCAGGACATACAGAATTGTCAGAGCACGAGTCAGCAGGCTGCTGCTTGCTGCAATAGGTGTCATCGGTGTGTTTGTGTTAAATATGGAGAACGAGTTGTTCAAATGAAGTCTCACCCCCAAGTTCATTAGGAAAAGCATGACAGCAGAATTGCAGGGCTCACTCATGCATCTCCCACTAATGTTGACTCAGGTACCCTTCATGACCAGGAGCTATTTGGAGCTAGGGAAATGGCAGTGAGGAAAAAAGACCAATGATTGTTGTCCTCATGGACCTCCCATTTTAATGGGGGAGAAAGATGTCAGTAAGAATACAAGCAGACTTGGGGCTAGCAGGTGACGTGGTGGTTAATGATGCTGGACTCCCACATGGTCGACCATGGTTCAAGTCCTAGACCTGGTGGTTTGCTTTCTCACTCCTCCTGCTCATTTACTCTCCCTCCCTGATCAAATTAAAATGAATAAATTAAATTAAATAAAAGAATACTAACATAATTATTTGCAAAAAAGAATACAAGCAAACTTCAAAAGGTTCATAGGAATATAGAATTAAAGTATGAGTTTATTTTGGTTTAAAAGTAATTGAAATTCATGCAGTTTTTTTGTACCATGCATTTTGTGTTAATTTTTTAAAAAAGAATTATTTTATTTAACTTTATTTTAATTTGACCAGAGAGAAACAGAGAGAGCGCAAGAGAATGAGAGAGAGAGAGAGTGAAAAAGGTGTCAGGCCCAGGACTCGAACCATGGTTGGCCATGTGGGAGTCCCATGCCCTTAATCACCACACCACCTGCTGACCCCCGATGAAGTTTTAAATTTTTTTCTTTTGTCATGAGAGAGAGAGAGAGATAGCACCTCAACAGTGTCTTGACCCCATGACCCCCCAGCCCCATGTAACCCCAGATCCTGGGCATGCACATGCCCTGAAGGCTCAGGGCAGTCAGTCTTCTACTTCCTGTGTGGTTCAGCCTCACGGAGTCACATTTACTGCTCCATCACCTCTGGCCCCTCTATAAGCTTTTTGAAATCCCCTTGTATAATAATCACAAGAGCTGACATTGTGGGTGCTCACTTTGTGCCAAGAACTCTTCCCAGCTCTCTTCCAGGTAGTAACCGATTTCCTTAGTGTGGTGTGTCGTGATGCAGGGACAGTTATTTATCCCAGCCTTACAAGAGACAAATGAGGCAGAGCAAACTTAACAACTTGCCCGCTGTATGTCCCTTGTAAGTGATAAAGCCAGGGAAGAGCCACAGGCGGCATCTTAGGCGCGTGGCTGTGGCCAGTCCACTGCAGGGATCTCGGATGGACTGAGATCTGGGATTACGATGCTGCCTCTGTGATCCACCAGTGCTGGAAAGGAGTGGCAGGGCATGGCTGTCGTCGTAGTTTACTTTGAATTTAGAGTACTGGTTCCCCAAACACTGTTTCTGCCTTGGCACTTAGGTTTTTCCATTAAGCGAACTCTAGGAAGAGAAAAAGATGGAAAATAATGTCTGTGACCTTTAGTATCCCACCCTCACTATGGACATTGCTCTTTTTAAAAACAATTATTTATTTAATTGTATTTGTTGTTGTTGTTGTTAATTGACTAGCAAGAGAAGGGGAAAGTGAGAAAGCAGGCTGCCAGATCCGGGACCCAAACCATGGTCGGTCATGTGGGAGTTCAGCTCTTTACCACTATGCCACCTGTCAGCCACAGGAAATTGCTCCTTTAAAGCAGTTCATTTGTGTGTTGGGTTCTATTTTTTCCCGTGTATTAAATATATCTCTCTCATGCTTGCACTGATGGTCAGAGAGTCTTCATAGCATGTTGTTTAGACTACACAGTCATTTTATTCATAAATTCGAAAATTATTAATAGAAGACACTTGAGCCCCTTCCCGGTAGTGGGGGAGGTCTTAGAGGTGGCAAAGACTGTTGGTCTTCTTCCCCATGAGTATGTACTTGATCTAGTCTTTGCTCTTTTTAGTGTCTAAGAGTTCACTCCAATGGCAGGTTGAAGTTTTCAGGAGCCTAATGCATAACCTTCAGGTTGGGCAGGAATAACAAATAATTCCAACTGCTAAGGAAAGTTTTTCTTGGGGGTTGAGAAAGTCTGCCATTTCCTTCATGATGAAGAAAATAAACATTACAGCCTGAGTCTGTCATGCACCGACTCCTATAACTTCCCTGGGAAATTGGAAATGGGGGTTTCGCCTCGGTCATCCAAGTCCGCCAGTGGAAGCAGATGCCATGGAGTTGGGGTGGGAGGTTGGGCGCATTGCTCTCCTGTCTGAGCACTCACAGAGAGTCATCTTCTTCTGTTGACGCATTTGTGTTTGTCTCTTCCCCCGACAGGGCTGTCTGACAATGCCAAACTCCCCGTCTGTGCACTCACGTTCCATTTCGCTGGGTCCATCCCTCTCACTTGGCAACATCTCAGGGGTGTCGGTGAAGTCCGAGATGAAGAAGCGTCGAGCTCCTCCTCCTCCAGCTTCAGGGCCACCCGTGCAAGACAAGGCATCAGAAAAGGTAAGGGAGAGGTGGCTCTCGTGACCAAAGCACCTGTTACACGATCCAGGTGGTGCTCCTGAAGCCCTCTGAGGCACCATGATCCTTCACTTCATTTGTGGCTTTAGCAGTCACGTTTGAGGTAAATATTTGAGCTTCCTTTAAAAGTAAAGAAGAGATGCCATCCTGATGCAATTATAGAAGGCAGGAAACTACAGATTTGGAGGCCTTTAGCTCATAAAGACCTACCGTTGTTGATAAACATGTATTCTATTTTAAGCACTGAAGTCTGGGACATCGTTGTGATTGCCAAGGGGGATATTTGCACAGTTAAAGACGCTGTAAGAAAGCCAGAGCTTGCAGAGGGCTGAGAGGATACATAATAGTACAGGTATCCCGAATAATTCGGGTCACAGGAACTGAGGAAATGTCTGGCTCTGCAGTCACTTTCAGTCCCATATAATGCTTATTTTGTGAAGCACCGTGTTTAAGAAGCCTCCTTTTTTATCTCCAGGACAACGTAATGCCTTCGAAAGTGACTAGCTCACTGGGTGCTCACTGGGGTGAGCCTTCAGTCCTCAGCTCCAGTTTATTCCTGATCCACTTTCGTTGTGCCTGTTCTCTCCAGCTATCACCTGATGCCCTGAAACAATGTTTGAAATATCTAATTCTCCCTTTCCAGGAGTAGCGCCCTCTCTGACAGTGACTGCTGTTTTCCTGGCTTAGTGAACTGTAAAAGCGTGTGTGGGTTGTATTGTTCTAAACCATCCTCACCGGGGTGGAATGTGGCAGGAAGAGCATCTGAAGCAGTCAGGGTGGGCGCTGCTTTTGACTCTGGGAAGGTTGGCTCCCCAAAACAGTCAGGATGTGACCCGCATCCCTGCTCTGTCTACAGGGACGTTAGACCCGCCCTGCCGGGTAAAGACAAGGATGCCTTATCCTCCGGCTGACTCGATCCCTGTGTCTGGTGAACTGGGAGAGGAAGTACATTCAAAGTTCATTTCTTCTCTCACTGGAGTGCCATTCCCCGCCTCTTGGTTGTTGTTTTTGTGTCACCTGGTCTGTTCCAGCGTAATAATGCTTCAGAGCATCGCACCCTGCTAGTCCTTAGGTTGGAACCCTTTTTTGTTTATTCATGAAATGAATTTCACTCATAGAAGATAATATTTTGATTTTTTTGACTCTTAAACATTTTCTGATTTATTTATTTTGAGTCCTCTGTGCTGTCTTAGCTGAGTTTTGATAAAAAAAAAATAAAAGAATTATCAGCACAAACGTACATCACCTCACCACACACTCACATGATCAAACGAAGCCCACCGCACACAAAGCTGTTTCCTGTGGTGGTCTACAGTGCATCTCCTTAATTTGATTAAATTCAGTCGGGATTTTTTTTATAACATGCAGACCATATTGATAACATTGACCATTTTCAACTAGATACTCCTGGGGTGTCTTTTTACTTTTGGTTGGAATAGGTATTGCTTTTATTTTTAAAATTATTTATTTCATTTATATTTATTTTTTAATTTGCTATAGGGCACATGCACTCAACAGAGAGAGTCAGAAGGAGAGAGAGAGAGAAAGAGAAAGCAAGCCACCAGGTCCAGGACTAGAACCAGTTAGCCACGGGTGTGTCCAGTGCTGTAACTGCCATGCCACCTACCTGATAGCTCCAGAGATAGGTATTTCTTTAATAGTGATAAGTATGAATCCCAGGAGTAATATTATGTATTTTTTTCTCTCCCAATAAGAATTTGTTTAATGTGGGCCAACAGGTGGCATGGTAGTTAAGGTACTGAATCCCACATGGCCGATGGCATGGTTCAAGTCCCAGACCTGGCAGCTTGAAAAACATGCCAGGCACATATGTGCGCATGCCCAAAATCTCAAGAGGAGAATAGAGGTGAAGGGCTTTTAGCATGGCCATCCACCCCCAGGAGTGATTTCTCACTCTCTCTCACTTGCTCTCTCAGTCTCTGTCTGGTGAGTACACACACCCCATAGCAAAAAAACTAAAACTAAAAAAAAAAAAAAAAAGAATTGACTTAATGTGGTAGAATGTAGATACTGACCTGCGTCAGCATTTTTAAAATTTCTTCCATCCAGAGAAGATGTTGTACTTTTTTTCCTTTAATGTGCTTACCCCAGTAGACAAGCCTACTTGAGTGGGAAAATGTACGATAAGTAGGGAATTGGGAATTCTGAATGAAAAACAAGTAACACTTTATACCCTGTAGAATGAACAGAGTTCCCTCTGAGGCAGTAAAAGCTTTTTACTGAAATCTGTTTTCCTTGGCACAGAATGATGGAGGAATTGGCTCATGGAGACCATCTCCTTTTAAAGCGTACGAGTGGCATATGGATTAGATTTAAGCATTTGCTATGAACACACTTTCTTTCTTCTGCTTTTCTTTTCTTCTCCTTGTTTTTTTTTTTTTTTTTTGAAATGAAAGGTATTTTGTTATTTACTGATTTCTGGGAAAGGAACCCAAAAATGTATTGTCATGGTAGGGGAAGAACGTCAGTGCCTTCTTCGTGAACTTCCTTCCATATAAAGATAAGGTGTTTGTTTGGAAAACTTTATTTACATGCAACTGTTACTAACACCCGTGTCCTGAATAAGGAGGAAAGGTTTATTTTCAAGGACTTGACTAGTTTATAAGAAAATGAGAATGCTTAAGTTTTCACATTTTTAAAGACTCATTTTCTTGTCAACCAGTTTCTTAAAAATCAGTACTTACTTACTCTAATCTTAAAAGTGGAACAGTTTTAGCCGTCTTCCAATTTATCTGAGTGTTTTTTTAAAAAAGTATATAATATCCCTATCAGTATTTGTTACTTGATTATATACTCAAATGTGATTATTCGTATTTATTTCTAAAAGCATTTTTTTTCCAATGAGATTTTCAGAGTGTTAGCACCTATGGGGGTAAAAAAGATGCTCTTATGCAAGCTTATGAGCAGAACAGCTAGGAAGATGGGTAAAGGGATATGTTGCCTTTCAGAAGGTGGGAGAACTCTCTTCAGACTTCCTGCATTCTTCCCGTGGTACTAGAACATAGATTTTGTAATGGAGCACGTTCAGACGGAAAAGATACATTACATGCATTAAGGACTCAGCTGCCAAGTCAGTATTTCTCCAACTTGAGCAGGCATTGTAATCACCCCAAAGGGCTTCTTAAGATATATTTTACTGAGCTCACCCCCAGAGTTCTGACTCAGTATGTATGGGGTGGGGACTGAGAATTCACAATTCAGCACTTCCCAAGTAAGGCTGCCTCTGCTTCTGCTCTGGAGAACCCCCCACTATGGGAACCACCACTAGTGGGCTGTTTCTTCCCTAGCTGCCTGCTCAGAATTTTGACTAATCAAATATAACAAATCTGAAGAGATGCTTCAGCAAAAAATTTACCTGAAAAAAAATAAATGAATCTATGCTGAGAAATAATAATTATGTAGTTCACCATAGAGCCAGCTGAGACCTAAAGGTATATACAGTGTTAAAATACATGCAGAGCTCTTACTTCCACTGGCTGGGACCCAGGGAATACTCACCAGGGGACAGGGAATAGTCTGGTCTGGACAGGATTTTGCTGTTTCTCATCACCTAGGGCCCAGGGTGTCTCCTACCCACCTTGCTCTGTGCTGAGATGACCTCTCCTCATGTCCTGGACCCTGAGCCCCTGCTGGAATTTTTGCTTGCTGCTCCCATGTTGGCATCAGAGGTTCCTTTGCAGACTAAGCTTTTAGTGCCCTATTGCTATGGAGAGTTCACGTTCCTCTTGTTCTAACTTGGGCTGCCTGTGCACCAGTATTAAGGTTATGAGTTATGGTTACAGACGCAGATGCTTGGATGGTCATCTACTCACCCAGTCTTCTGGTCCTTAGTTTCTTCCTCTGTAAAATGGGAGCCATAAAAGCACGGTGCTGACAGGTGCATGTTGTAGTGGTCAGCATGTAGACCCTTTCCTATGTTCAGATCCCAGCTCTGCATTACTAGAAATGTGGCCCTGGGCAAAATCTGTCTTCTGTGCATGGTGTCCTTAGCCATGCCCCTGTGCAAAGTAGGGAGGAGAGAGCTGCCACAGCCCATGCGTGAGGAGGGACTAGCCAGAGGGCTTGAGGCAAGGAGAGCCAGGCAGTGGGGCAGAGAGCTCTGTGACCCCAGCCAGCTCCTGCATTAACCAAGTGGTGAATCATACTTAAAGATGGAATTCTCTGTCACTGCAAACACCAAGTGTACGATCAGAAATCACCAAGCTCCCAGAGTGAGCCTGTTCAGAAATATCAGCATCCTCTTCTCTCTTGACAGCATTTTTCCTTCTCAGCCACAAACTCTGAGCACTCCACTCACTATTCCATGCCTTCAGAAGGGTACAGAGAAGGAGGTTGCTCATCCCTTTAAGTTCTGGGAGGCCCTGTTTAAAAAGGAGAATAGAAAACGATCAAGTTATCTTTCCTTAGACGATGCCAGTTACCAACCAAAGATCAAAACAATAAATCACCTTTTCTTCACGTCTCTTCTTTATGCAATGCTGTGTATGTTACAGAGCAGCTTTTTTCATTTAATTCATTAAAAATAAATAACTCATGGAAATTTATGAGACAATACTGCGTCATTTAATTTTAATTATCACTGCTTACAAATATATAATAAAGAGCTATTCATGCATTTATTCAGTTAATATGCAACTTTACACACTTGCTTTTGTGTTGATAACAACTATAATCAATTTTTATTATAATTTTAAAAATAATTCAGAAAATATTTCAAAGTGATTCGGGCTTTCTTTTGCCCTGTATTATTTGAATAGTTACATTCATTATGTTCAACACCCTTAAAATTCTAACAAGACAAGGATATTTCAATATTATCTCGGGCTTACCGCATTGGAACTAAAATAACTAGCGGTGCTGGCTATGAAACTGAGAGATGGCGGAGGCTTGTGTTTTGAGCAGTTATCAGTATAACCCAATAGATTTTTATGTAAAAAGTTTGCTTCTACATTCAATAAACA